CAGCAGCCCCTCTTTTTACATTGCAAACCCATTTTAAATGGCCAACCCAACGGGTGCTTGGTATGGGAAATAAGGGCGCTGCTGTTTGAAACCATTCCCACATGTTATGAAGGTTAAAAAAGCCAAAAGACTGTGGCTTACCATGGCTGCCTGCAAGCCGAATTCTGTTGTCTGGCACTGCGTGAGTGATCTCTCACACCAAACCGGCAGGCACTCAGTATAAGAGGAAAAATGCGACCTTGTAACGAAAGCACATGTGCTGTGTAATGTGAACAGCAAAATGTAACGTGAAAGAGTGTACCCATTGTTCTCTAAAATGTGTCTTTTTTAACCACCTCTCCCTTCTCCTCCACCAGCTGCAAATGTTTCTCCTGAGCAGAGGCTAGTGAAGATTAGAAGGAGAAAACGGCGGACTCGGGATGGTATGTTCTCGGAGCTCCAGATGTCCTCCCACGCTGACAGAGCACAGCAGAATGCGTGGAGGCAGTCAATGTCAGAGTGCAAAAAAGCACAATATGAACGAGAGGAGAGGTGGTGGGCTGAATCGTGGGCTGAAGAGAGCAAGTGGCAGGCTGAAGAGGATAGGTGGCGTCAGTTTGCTGACAGAAGGCAAGAGTCGATACTCCGGCTGCTGGAGCATCAAACTGAAATGCTCCAGCGTATGGTTGAGCTGCAGGAAAGGCAGCAGGAGCAGAGACCACCGCTACAGCCCCTGTGTAACCAACAGCCCTCCTCCCCAAGTTCCATAGCCTCCTCACCCAGATGCCCAAGAATGCAGTGGGGGGGCCTCTGGCCACCCAGCCACTCCACCCCAGATGATTGCCCAAGCATCAGAAGGCTGGCCTTCAATAAGTGTTAAAGTTTTAAAGTTTTAAACTGCAGTGTGTCCTTTTAATTCTCTCCTCCCCACCCCTCCCGGGCTACCTTGGCAGTTATCCCCCTAGTTGTGTGATGAATTAATAAAGAATACATGAATGTGAAGTAACAATGACTTTATTGCCTCTGCAAGCGGTGCTCAAAAGGGGGAGGGGAGGGTGGTTAGTTTACAGGGAAGTAGAGTAAACCGGGGTGGGGGAGGGTTCATCAAGGAGAAACAAACAGAACTTTCACACCGTAGCCTGGCCAGTCACAAAACTGGTTTTCATAGCTTTTCTGATACGCACCGCGCCCTGCTGTACTCTTCTAACTGCTCTGGTGTCTGGCTGCATGTAATCAGCAGCCAGGCAATTTGCCTCAATCTCCCACCCCGCCATAAATGTCTCCCCCTTACTCTCACAGATATTGTGAAGCGCACAGCAAGCAGCAATAACAATGGGGATATTGGTTTCGCTGAGGTCTATCCGAGTCAGTAAACTGCGCCAGCGCGCTTTTAAACGTCCAAATGCACATTCTACCACCATTCAGCACTTGCTCAGCCGATAGCTGAACAGGTCCTGACTACTGTCCAGGCTGCCTGTGTATGGCATCATGAGCCATGGCATTAAGGGGTAGGCTGGGTCCCCAAGGATAACTATAGGCATTTCAACATCCCCAACGGTTATTTTCTGCTCCGGGAAGAAAATCCCTTCCTCCAGCTTTTGAAACAGACCTGTAAAGTTCCTGAAGACGTGAGCATCATGTACCTTTCCCGGCCATCCCAAGTTGATGTTAGTGAAACGTCCCTTGTGATCCACTAGGGCTTGCAGCAGCATTGAAAAGTACCGCATGCGGTTTATGTACTCGGTGGCTTGGTGCTCCGGTGACAAGATAGGGATATGGGTTCTGTCTATCGCCCCACCACAGTTAGGGAATCCCATTGCAGCAAAGCCATCCACTATGACTCGCACGTTTCCCAGAGTCACTACCCTTGATAGCAGCAGGTCTTTGATTGCGTTGGCTACTTGGATCACAGCAGCCCTCACAGTAGATTTGCCCACTCCAATTTGATTCCCGACTGACCGGTAGCTGTCTGGCATTGCAAGCTTCCACAGGGCTATCGCCACTCACTTCTCAACTGTGAGGGCTGCTCTCATCCTGGTATTCTTGTGCTTCAGGGCAAGGGAAAGCAAGTCACAAAGTTCCATGAAAGTGCCCTTACGCATGCGACAGTTTTGCAGCCACTGGGAATCGTCCCACATGATGCGGTCCCACCAGTATGTGCTTGTTTCCCGGACCCAGAATTGGCGTTCCACGGCATGAACCTCCCCCAGTAACACCATGATTTGCACATTGCTGGGGCCTGTACTTTGTGAGAGGTCTATGTCCATGTCAATTTCCTCATCACTCTCGTCGCCGCGCTGCAATCGCTACAATCGCCTCCACAGCCTGCTGTGCTTCCCCTTTGCACATCACCTCGGGCACTCGCCCCACGGGTCCTTTTTCATCTGGTTCTTCGCACCCGCGTGTGGTTAATGATTCAGAGCAACAGGAGGGGGCGGATCTGGGCCAATACCTGAGTGAAAAGCAGATCAACAGCAGCCTGTGTTGTCTTTTTTCCCCATCCCCCCTTGGTGCTTCCCCTTTCCAGGTGGGTTTGTCCATTGCATGGACGTACTGGGTGACCTTGGGTAAGTCATTACCCCTCGCTGTGCCTCAGTTTCCCCATCCTCCCTTTGCCTATTGCCATGAGCCTTTTTGGTAACAGACTGGCTCACTGTGTGTCTGTGCAGCACCGAGCATGATGTGGCCCTGATCTCAGTCGGCTCTGGGCAGCACCTGGCACAATGGGCAGGGCCGGATTTCTGATTACAGTAAGGAGGGTCAAAGTGAAGGAGCTGCAGATTTCTGATTAGGCGCAGCAGGCATGTGCCTACGGACGCCGGCATTCTATGGGGCACCTAAAAATTAAAATTTTTCCACTCTCGGGTCCCAGCAGGGGGCAGGGCTGGCTGAGGGGATGACAGCCCCACACAGCCCTGCTGCTGGAGCGCTCCTCGCTACGCCCGGCAGACAGTGTCACCTCCCAGGGGGGCCAGTGAGTGCGGGCCGGGGGCAGGGTTTGGGAGATTGGGTCTCTGGGGGAGTTCATGAGGCAGCTCTGGGCAGAGGGGTGGGGGGCGATGGGCAGTGGGTGGAGGGGGTCGCTGGGCATCTGGGCACCTAAAAGTTAAAAGTGGTGGGGATCCCCCATCGCCCACGGTGGTTAAGAGCTTCCGGGCAGCAGGGGAACCCTGCCTTTCTCAGACGCCTCCAGGCGACCGAGCCCCCGGAGCTCCAAGCCGGGGGGGGGGACAACCACCAAGCCCCTGTGCCTAGGGGCACCCTAAGTGTAAATCTGGCCCTGACAATGGGGCTCCTGGTCTTTGTTGCTAATACACACAATAAAAGACCCAGTTGCCATGGTCAAAAAGTCCAGTTCCCAACTGGAACCAGTTAAAAATATGAACAGGGATCCCAGCTGGGGCTGATATACCAGAGCACCAGGTGTCTGAATCTTTAATTCCACCGTCGGCAGGGGACTGACTGGCCATTGGCCCGCGATTGGCAGGCAGCGCTGTAACAAGGGCGCCTAAAGCTGAGGGGCGCAGAAAAAGACAAATAAGGTTTTGTAATTCTTATTATCTTATGAAAAATTATAATTACATAATATGCACATTGCATCACGACAAATGTACAATGGAAATGGAAAAGAAATAGAATAGACCCTACAGTAATTATAAAGCATTGGTTCTCAAACGGGGGGTCATGACCCAGTTATGCGGGGGGGTCACGAGCCCTGACCCCAATGCGTGGCTGCAAGTTGCGAGCCTCGACCCCTGCACTGGGCTGTGAGCCCCGACTGCGACCCCCACAGTTCATGATGCACTATGATGCACATCTTATATGTATTGGTTGATTTTGTACGCGGATCTTATGATTAAAATAAATAAACGTTCTATTATCATTATTATTCTTGTTATTTACGTATTTTCTTTTTTTTTTACAAAGTAACTACTATGAAATTATATGGAGAGGGGAGGGCGCAATTTTATATTCTTGCCTCGGGCGCAAAAATAGCAGGGCTCTGTTGGCAGGACGGGGGCGGCTGGGGGTGTGTGCAGCTGAGTGGCGGTTACCATCTGCCCATGGTGCCTTATCCTGTCTCTGCCTTCCAGGGTTCTGCATCGCCCTGTGCCTGAGGGGCACCGTGGCCCAGAATCATGGCATACAAGGTAAGGCTGACTCCACCTGGCTAACCTTCCCCAGCGCTCCCGGCTGCCCGGGGTCTCCAGCCTCTGCCCCCTCCGGTCCCTTTCCCTTGTGGGAGGAGAGCAGAGTCAGGTGTGGTGAGCCGGGAGCAGCCCCTTGGCGTGGGCGTCTTGGGGTGGGTTTATAGAGCAGGGTGGGTGCGTGCAGGGGAGAGGAGAAGGCCCCTATGTAGCCCTCCCCTTCCCTTCCCAGCCCCGTGGCCAGCAGAGAATAGACACTGGGGCCCAGGGCTCTACACTGGGGGCTGGAGTGAGGGGCAGATCCAGGCAGGAATTTCCCAAGGAACCATTTTTTGCCAGAAAATGCCGATTCGGTTCAGAGGAATGTTTGGTTTTACTTGGGGAAAAAATTGCACGGGGGGGGGGCAGGAGATGAAATAATTTTTAAAACGAACAATTCCCATTTTCCGGTTGGAAGCGAGGTTTTGGGTTGAAATTGGCGCTAACGAGAGTAACGACGACAGCAACAAAAAAGAGAAATATTGGGTCAGATCGAAAACGTTTCACTTGAACCGACGCCCGGCTCCGGCGGCTCTGCCTGTCTGTGCCGGGGGCTCCCTGGGGAGCCAAGGCCCCTGTGCAGCCGAGGGCAGCTTGTTGCCAGGCGGTGGATGGCGTCGGAGCTGTTTGCCAGGCGCCCAGGGATGAAAATCAGTGAATGGGGTGTGTGAAAGGAGTCGATCCCACTGTGTGTGTGGGTGTGGGGGGAGCCGCTCTGCACTGGCTGACCCTGCCCAGCTGTTCCCACCCCTGCAGGTACCACTGAGGACTGCAACAGCCATATGCTGTGCCCAGCAAACGCCACGTGTGTGAACAACACCCACTGCACCTGCCTGGATGGATACGAGACAAGAGAGAATCACCCCATCTTCTTCACCGACCCAACAGAGATCTGTGACGGTAACGGGGCTCCCACATTGTCCTGGTGGGGCTGGGACAGAGCAGGGCATTAAGGGCCGGAGCAGCCAACTCCACTGACTCCAGGGCCTGTTGGGGTGCTCAGCCCGGCTGGGGAATGAGGGGGCAGCAGCACGGGTGAGCGCCGCCCTCCTGGGGATCGAACTGGGGCCTCCAGAGTGAACAGCAGGAGCGGCTGCAGCAGGAGCCAGGAGCGTTGGGCTCTGCGAATTGGGCACACGGGGGGGGGGGGAGGGCCCATCACACTGACCCGTCTGAATCCCAGCCTGGGCCCTCATCAGCCCCTGGGTGTCCTGGGGCAGAGGGGCCCCATGGGAGCAGAATGGGGCAGCCCTGGCTATGCTACTCCCCCAC